CTCTCTCTCTCTCTCTCTCTCTCTCTCTCTCTCTCTCTCTCTCTGTCTCCCCTATCTGGATTCGGTGTCATAACCAAGTCAAGAAGACAATATGTAGATAAAGACGCAAATAGTTGGTAGGGAAAAGACCCGTAGCTAAGCGTGCCATTACATCGGCTCGGATCCCCTGAGTATAAGTGCTATGAAGACCACATTAAGAAGGAGTCACTGTGGCAGTGGGGCTGCTAACTTGTCGCCTAAACTCGCTTCTCCGTACCATTAAGTAAATCACTCTGTTAGCATAGATTTTGAGCCTGCTCTCCCTATGTGACATTCGCCTTACGTTCAGTCAACTGCAGTTATGTTTCTGTATTCAACAAGACGTTCACTAGGTATAGCCTCTGATGATCTGATTATCTTTGAAAATTTTACTCTGTGCTTCCCACTCCAGATGATATTACCTGTATCCGTGTTGAAAATTCAATAAAGGTTCCTCCATGACTATCGGTCGTCATCACTTTCAGAAGATCGAGAAAGAGGATGTGCGAACAAAGTTTGTTTTTTTTTCCCTCACGATTAACCGGATCCAAGTATCGTCCCAAGTTTAGTCTAAAGCTCTTGATCGATCGTAACCACGGTCTCGGTGCCCCGTTCTGTGTTGCCTTCACTCTCCTGTCACTTCTTTTATTTATCATCCCTTCCGTAACCTCTAGCACCCTGGTTGCGTAATCAAGTACTGTGTTCAGACTCAAATACCTCGGATGTTATTGCCACTGTTATCGGTTCTGTTATTCTTTCCGCCAGCTAATTTATCTCGCTGACATTTAAAACTGTATGGTCTTTTGTTCATCTTATATTTCTGACCTCGATTTACAATGTCACGAGTTCAGCCAGAATTTTTTCCGTCTTTTCCTTGACCGCCTCCAAGTTTTCAGAGTCCAGTCTATCATTCACACGGGCCGTCTATAAAACAGTTACGCTTAATCTGAAGCTGCTGCTAGTTTGATTTGATTCGTCAAAGCAGAACCAGTCATCATAGTATTGTGCTCCCTATTCACAACCTTGCACTGCAGTCTACTGCACGACGGTCATATGTCAGTTGGCTAAAGTACTTTTGTTAGAAAAAAGTGGCAATTTTATGTGGGCCTTGCACAATTAGCGTTAATAGGTAAACCAACCACAGTCGCCTCAAGCCAAATTGACTAAAATCAAACAAAACAGATAGCAACAGCAAAATTACGTAGCTCTCCAGATGATTAGTCTCAACAGAAGTTCTGTGTTTGTGTTTATTGACATTTAAAAATCGGACGGGGGTTACATGGCTGATTGTTGTTACACCAATGTGGAAGAGTTACTGTAGGGTGAATGCAGCTACCTGGAAGTCATCAACTCAGACTGTGAAATGAGCCCTTTTTCGGGAAACCTAGTCTCCGAATTGCCTCACCGCTGTAAGGAAGCAACTAGAAGGGAGGAAGAAACACCTGCACCAAAAGCATATATTTTGCTATCCTAACGCAGTTTGTGAGACGTCTTTGACTCTGGAATTTGGTTTAGATTTTCGGTGACCCCCACATTCTATTCTCCCTGTGTAGATCCATCTCTTTTCTTGAGATAAAATGCTGTTGCGTTAGGTATTATACTTCTGACTATCACGTCGAGTCTAATAAGCTCGAATTATGTTTTGGGGCTGTAGACACATTTTCTCCCTACTGTTCATTACTTCAAGTCTGCCATTATTAGTTTCGTCAACTTATTACGCTTACTGGAAAGCTTTCTTCCCAGTTAGCGTAACCTCACCTGTACATCTACTTTTCATTTCACCTGCACTGTTCTGATTTAATTCCGTGCGTTTTGAGGGCCCCAGAGGCGTGATTTAGTTCGTCAGTTGTCTGGAATTATGTACTTCCTGGCCTAGATAGCAGTTGCACTCCTAGCCGCACCTGAGCACATGCGAGTTGGGTTCTCACATCTACATCCAAATGGTCTCTTTCACACGTTCCACTTCTGCCGAGCTTGTCGCGGGACAGGTTCTGGTTACGACTACTCGCTTGTGTGAGAGGGGTTGCGCGCGTGTGATCTAATGCGTTAGGAAACCTGCAGAATTAAATGTACGGCAGAGGGTTTTTGATACTGAAAGTGCATTTTTAAGATTACTTCTGTATTCGTAGTCTGGGTATGTGATATAAGGGTGATGAAGCAAACGAAGACTAGTTATGCTGTGGCCTGAGGCTGGAGGTACAAGCGAGAGTGATGTTGACGGCTCAGCGCACTTTCCGCGTTATGAAAAATGTGACGTGCTTGAAGCTGTAATGGCGCTCTAAAAGCCGTTGGTTGCCTAATGACGGGAAACTGGGTCCATGCGATCGGCCCGGTGTGTATTTTGTGGAGTGGCCCCTTCTTAATATGGTCTTTGTGGCACCTTTTCTAGTCCCTAAGACATAAACACTGCTACGATATCCCAGATGGCTGCAGAACAACTGCTGGGTTACAACTTTTTAGGGAGAAAAATAGCCTGAACTGCTTACGGGATCGCTGTTGCCCACTGCATAGAGGTTTTTAGTTTTGGGGAGAAGAGGACGGAAACAGAGCTATCGGACCTGGAAAACACTCACAATACACATATGCACGTATCGGACAGTCTACTCTGGTCTAACTCGCTAGTGAAGGCGGTTACCGGGGTGTGATCGCTTAGTGCAGCCTGGTTTCAGGAAGGCTGCAGTTGACCGCCCCAATTTCCTTCAACACGTTTTACCAGTAAGGTCAAATGCTATAGTTTGACTTTCTACCAAAACCCTTTACTGCAAGCTAGCTCGAAGCACAAATTGCTCTCTGGACAATTTCCCAGTCTTATGAGCTCTTTTAAATGTAGCATTCATTTTTAGTGAGGTCGGTTTCTTTCGGCATATTGAAGATTTAATACGATGAACTGAATTATTTGGACCTACTTTCAGCCACAAGCATCATCCGTAAAATACTGTTTGACCACGCCAACCGAGCACTATTCTTATTCAGAACGTATGTTTAATGCAATTCACTTCATTTGCTCACACCTTTTGGTAAACGAGCGTTTATATGCAGCGCAATAGAGTCCTTGTGTGTACCTAAATTTCTTTCCAGGGACTTATTCCGTCTAAAACTCTTCGAAGAAATTCGAGTTCCCGGCACTTCAGTCTAAATGTTTTTGAGTTAACCCATCAATAGTGGATTACATCCTGGGCTGTCTTCACTCTTAGTTGTGCTCTCAGGTGCTAGCGATAACGATTATGATTGAACTTTCCTTGCAACTTTCAGGCGCGTCTCCTCTCAGCAACAGCCACCGGCCTCCTTGTGCCACTCTCCCTTAGAGTGAAGCCTCTGAGCCCCTCCTCCTTCCTCCTCGTCGGTATGAAAGCGGGCACCCCGGCGGCTTGTCGTAGACTACTGGTCAGCCGGCGTTTCATCTCTGGTCTTGTTAGACATTTGGAGAGTCCCCACGTCATGTTACGCGCCAAGGCCTATCTTCTAGCTGCCGCTGCATTGGATATCAGTCCCGGTGGCGTCTTACCCACCGCCTGCGAGTCGCGATTGCCCTCCTGCTTGGAGCGTGACCTTCGGATGACTAATCAGCACAACCCACAAGTGCTCACGCCGATGTCGACAACCGCAGCAGTGATGGAGACTGACGGCAGTACTAATGAGTCTACTGCAATGCAAATGCATCTGGCCAGCTCAAATCGGACGCCCTCTGTAATCCACGCGCCTGATCTCCAGTATCTAGGCTTTTGTTGTCGACATTTGGCCGACTTTTTGATAGATCATTTGGTGCCGAAAATATGTGAACAGGTCAGTATCCGTTTGGTTCTTGTTCCAAAACGCGTTACTGTGGTGTAAATAGTTACACCCCTACGGTACTTTATTGGTCATAGTTTCTTCCATGGAATGCAAAGACTTTTCAAAATCCATTTCTATCATGACAGATGTCTATGCTCGAAAGGATTATATCCATAAAACGAATACTCATAGCCTTAATGCGGAATTTCGCACAAGCTGTGAACACCAAGGACTGGATCAGACCTCCGATAAATTGATTTATATTTAAATAAAAGTTCCCTCTATAAGAACGCTTGAAAAGTTATTACTATGGCTTCACAGTGTATCGAAGCCGGTAGGAATTAAGGTAATTAGCGTGTCCAAATTCTGCATGGTGACAGCAAGACTCAGTGGCCATCTGAGAACAAGGACAAGTAAAAGGGGTACGTAACTGGTGGCTGTCCCCCTTTCTGATAGACTCCAAATAAAGATAAATGAGTTTTGTCAAACAAGCAATCGGCAATTTCAGCAAACAACGCTCTATGGTTACCATGGCTAAGAAGTGAAAGGCAAAACATATAGGCAGGAATGTAGGTGTAGAAATATGTGGTAGTTATTATTCCAAACCTTCTCTTAGCCCCTCTGTTGTAGAGTTGTATCGGATCGGTGTACACGGAGCTTAAGTAAAAATTGGGCGCAGATTAAAGTTCAAACTCTTACTTAGAATTACTAGCACCCATGGTGGACTGAGTTCTTCGAAAGTTCATGTTATTCACGCCAATTTTTTTTATTCT